CAAGTATTTCTGATTGACACGTCAGCCATGTCAGCTTCGAAGAAACGTTGCACACAACTGTCGATGTTGAATTTTTATAGTAAAAGCATTAATATGAGGAATACCAGTATGATTGATGTATGACGTCGCCCTGATAGTATGTATGGCAGTAAATTGAACTGAAAATCGATCACACTCGCCACAATCTGATGATATAAATCATTTAAATTACGGCTTCTCTCTTTTTGGAATATGTGGTGGCCCTGAAAATGGCCGTTTAGTTTGGTTGCTATGAAGCCACTAATCAAGCTCAATCACTTCATTATGATCTTCTTGGTGGTCGAGATTCCACAGGGTCTGCAATGCTTCACGGCGGCGGGCAGCAAATGACAGAATTTCGTAAACGATGCGGAATATATTCAAAAATATTGAATGTATATTATCTTTTCTCGTATCATGTCATCCAAGATTTTGAGACGCGATTTGCTGATCATCACTGTGATCTGTGAGCTGCACAAGCACTTTTACCATGATGCAACATTGGTCAGCACACATCAACCCATGTGACCTCAATTAACAACTACTATGGGAAATTGTTGCAAAGGGGTGAATTTTTGAATATTGAAATTGAAAAGTGGATAACAAAGTTCAGTTATACACCAATTGAGCAACGCATAATGATGCTGCTTCACCTCTTGCTGTTTGTGATGTCAACTATTTCCCAGCCATCCACAGAACACCCGTCGGAAGCGTGTCATGTGTACGTTCTTTTTCTGCACTTCGGCGGGTGAAGTTATGGACACGATGTAGCATGGCTTAAGACAGACTCAGTTCTCTTGCAATGATACTAGTACACCGAGGCACAGACATCATTCCTTCCCCAAAAGTGATTTATTCAAGGAAAGCTAACTGGAGATAAATTATTATGCTATTGCCAAAGTTGTTAGTAAACATAAACTGTGTATTTTACAAGTATCAATTGTATTAATCAGTCCTGTACATTACATTAATGTTGCTCCTATATGAAGATATCAAGATGATTTTATTGTTAAAAATAGATAGATATACCCACATAGCCATTAACTTATGGCGCAACTGCACACCTCTACGCCTTCATACATTTATACGCAATTAAAAAAATGCAT